AAATCAGAACAAGATTTAGGTCATTTTCTGCTTTTTCTGAAATCTGGCACCTGAGAAATAACCCTCAAATTTTCTAACTTTGATCAAAGTATTGTCACACATAGCTATGTATTAACTCTTTTGTGTCTGATTCATCTCACCCCAATTTTAGCTGAATAATATCTCCATAAGAAAAGTGTAAGATCTCATCATTTTCTTATATAGATTAATTGTTTTTCGCAGTCTCTCAGTGTAGAAGGAGAACTCATGCCTTTCTCATTCAACACCGGAACATATTACAATGAAACGCTTATGTTAATCTCCTCTTTTTTCTAAGGGGGTTTTAGGAGAAAGAATTTAGAAATCAGGACTGGGTTGCACCAGTTTATTCTTAAGTTTGGATGTAAAGTCTTTACTAAGTCCTTAGTTAACACTAGTTTCACACTATCCTTTTACTAAATTCAGTTGCAACACAAATCCGTAAGTCATGTCTTAACTAGTAACAACTAATTAATGCCATGGCGACATGTTCAGAATCAGTCTAAAACTGAATAAAACTAATTATCTATAGCAACTGTCTGTTTATTCTTTAATAATTCTCTGATACCACCAAATACGCAGCTGTTTGAACGCTGTGTGTATTTAGCTTAATGCTTGAAGTTAAATCCAGAGCAATGGTTAGAGTTGTAAGCAAAACCACAGCATATAGCCTTTAGAAGTTTTAGCAATTTAGTTAACCAAAAATGTTTGTGACTTCACTGTGTTTTCTGGTGGTTTCGTACACCTGCTTAGAGGGTGGTGTAAATATTCAGTAACTACTAAGCTTAACGTTAAAACTCGCTTGTGTGGTGCAACTCGTTTTGTTTTAGTAATGCATAAACCTGAACTTAGTAAACACTTACTTTACAACTAGCCTACGTTTGAACGTATGCATAGCTGGTGCAACCGGCCACAGGGGTCCTTCTTTAATACAATATTGACATCTGCTTTATTTCTTTGGGACAATCTTGAAAAATTATTATTTTTTCCTCTGGGTAGTGATTTTAACAAAAGAGAGAGAATCCCAAACTGACTGTGAATAAAAGTATGATAATCACATGTCTACATGAAAATTACTTGAATTAAAAATATCAAATGACTACTGTAAATGTTCACACAAGATATAAGTAAACATTTCCATCACTCTAGACCAATTGGAACATGTTCTGCTGTATTTTTTTGTATACTAAATTAAGTTGTTGGTACTATTGTTAATTTCTACCAGGCTGAAGAGGCAGATGAAGCGATTGCCTTTTATATAACTGAGCAAATCGGCAATAAACGCTCTTGAACAGCAGTATGGAAAACTCCCCCTGACGTCCTGTTGTTGAATTGTGATACTGAGGATGTGCCAGGTGTTGGCGTACTTGTCCAGGTACTGTGAGTTTGACACAAATGGACAACTGGTATTATGACAATAAGTATGGACTATAAGGTACAATATTTATGTCTCACTCTCAGGTGAATTGTACACCACGTGAAGGAAAAGTGCTCCCACTTCGTGTAACTGTATCTGTGGCAGAACCGCTCTCCTCAAATGTTGCTAATCTACCAAGAGAGTTGGTAGAAGAAGTCTTGAAGGAATATGATTACTCTGTTCCAATCTTAGATGTATACCCTGTCCAGGGGTTAGGCTCTGAAGTGGACGATATCGCTGAGGCCCTGGAACATGCAAGGTAAACACATGTATTATCATGGTCATCAAAAATGTCACTTATTTATTATCAGCCTTCCGAACCGTATTCTTAACATGAAATACATAATACAGATGCTCAGTCCTCTAAGAAGATCGATAAATATGGAAGTGTTAGGCTATTCAGTTTCATAATAGAGCATGCTGTTGCCATGTAATTCAGACATCAATAATACTCATAACTGAATTCAGATAACAATAATACTCATAATTGAATTACATTTTGTACAAATTTATTCAATTCAAAGCTTGATTTTTTTGTTACTGGAAAGCGAACATTAAGGTATAATATTTCCTTTGACCAATAGTTCTTTTTTCATGGATTAGGTTTTTCCATGATTTCCTGTGGAGAGATTGGGACGATGAGGAGGAATGTCCAGAATATGCAGGGCAAATTGAGAAACGCTTGCAGCTGTAAGTTACAACATTGACATACTGTTCCCAGTTTACACCTACCTTGTGCCTACACTCCTTGGTCATTTTCTTAGGTGACATATAGGTACACTTTCATGGTTTACAATTACTGACTGTAGCCCATCTGTTGCTGCATAATTTAGCAACCACCCATCTACTCTATCCATCATTGGAAAGAAACCACCATACCCTCAGAGTGCACCTAGTGGTACAGCACTAACAGCATTGCGCAACATCATTTTTCAGTCAAAAAGGCCATTAAGTACAAACTTTTTATTTATTCTGTCCAAACTTTGCCTTTATTGACAGCCTCCATTCTTTTTGAGAGACTTTCTTTCGGTTTTAATTTGCAGGGATACATCCAAAGTTCAGTCTTTGGTTGAAGTGGGTTAAATTTTTAGCTTTTCTCACAATCTAAGTAATTCCAAACACATTCTATGATGTTGAGGTCTGGACAGTCCATTGTGTTGAGAACACTGGCAGTTTCTTTGTTTGATTTTCTCCTTTTTGGTCTATTTCCTTTTCTCGGCTTCTTGACAGCCGCACATCCATTCAGAACCAGCGTTGTCTTCTCACAGTGGAACACTGTGAATTTTTAAAAATCTAAAGCATGAGTAGAGCTTGATTTTTTCCTATCTCTCAAACATGAAAGTTTTAGGTGCTGTTTATCTGCTGAGGACAGTTTTAGTGGACTACCAGGTTTTGCACGGTTGTTAGGAGTGACAATTTGTATTTTTAAAAGACTTTCATCTTTCTTTTGCAAGTAATTGTCTTTTATCTAACTTAAAAATATTGCCTGAAAAATGATTAACTTGCACTTAACTGTTTTGATTGGAAATACAAATGAAGGGTGGTCACTGACTTTTGCACTGTACCTAATCAATCAGCAACTCACTGTATCTCACTTGAGCAAAGTTTCCTAAAAGAAGTATCCCTAAATAGTAGCCATAACATTCTATTCCACAAAAGAATATTAACCCATTTGCGTAATGTATGATGTATGCCAATTGAAATAAATATTAGATTCTAAAAGCAGGATTTTTTTTTTTGATAAAAGCAAAGCAGATGTACAAACCCTATTCCAAAAAAGTTGGCGCAGTATGTCAAATGCTAACAAAACAGAAAGCAGTGATTAGTAAATTATAATTTTGACCTCTATTAAATTGAAAATGGTCAAAAACCAAAATTTGATATTTTACCCTGTGAACTTATAAAGTCCTAATTTGATGGCTGCAACATGTTTGTTTAAAAAAGTTGGGAATTGGGAATGTTTACCAAACTTTTTTGAAAGTGTATTTTTTGACAGTCTTAAGCTTAAGCAGTTTTAAGCTTAATAAGACACACATTTTCAAAGGGAGACAGTTCTGGACTGCAGGTAGGCCAGTGTAGCACCCACACTCTCTGATGATTATGCAGCCATGCTGTTGTAACATGCAGAATGTGGTTTGGCGTTGTCGTAATGAAATAAGCATGGACGTCCCTGAAAAAGACGCTGTCTAGCAGGCAGCATATGTTACTCCAAAATGTGTTCAATGTTAATGTAAAGTAATGTAAAGTGTGAGGGCACTGGTGTGTGTGTGCTGACTGGTGCTTATCTTTTCATGACCAACTGTGAGGTCACTGGAGCTCAGGTACAGTCTGTTTGAACTTAGTGGTTCAACTCTGTATTTTATGCATTACCATTCTTCCATGTATGGACAATATGTAAAACATGATTGTTTTTTCAGGGAGCTGGTATAGAGCTTTACCCACCACTGCAGCAACCAAACCAGTAAAGACCCCAAGAACTCACTGGGTGGCATCAATATGAAGGTAGAATAGATTTTAAGCAGAACAACTGGTCTTAATATTGTGACATTTAAATATATACAACATACAAATGTGACTGAAGGAACTACACAGTAGTGGCACAGAACGACAAAAACAATACACCAATTTTTACTTCTTGTCTCCAATATTCCTTTCTAGGTCCCTCCAGAGCCACAGCTCAGGATGTCTGAGAACTACATCCATGACAACCATGGCTATGGGGTGACAGTACTGGTGCCTGATAATATCCAAGGCAATGTTAATGAAGACCAGGTAACTGCAAGTGGTGACAAGAATGAATCTGGTCAGCTGGCCAAAGCTATTCAGAAACTCAGCACCAATAAGCTTGAGTCCAACAGCCTGGGTGAAGTGGGCCTGCTGCACAAAATGTGGCTCACCTCATAAAAAGCAATCTTAATTCACAGTTTGAGATGAAAATTAGCAGTTAGATTTGTTGCTGCCAAAGAGCATTTTAATGTTATTTAATTGTCCTTGTCAGTTGAGAGATTGATGAATGTCTTTAAACAAGCAGTTTATAACTTTCATATGACTTGTAGCAATTTATAATAGTCTTAATTCGTCTTTTTTGCAGTGAGTTGATTATATCTGAAAACAGATACATAAATTGAGTTCAAACAGCACTTAATTTAATGAGAACAGTTTAATGAGAACAACTTGTATTTTGTACATCAAATTAGGGCTTGTTTTGCCAGTTGTATAATATATTTTGCAATTTCGGTCACACATTACAGTCAATGAAAACATCAACAGACAAACTCTTGCTCAAATGTTAGATGTAAGCATGGCTTTTTTTATAACAGAATATTATTTCCATGCAACTTCTTCACTGGTAGCTGCTCGCGATCATGCATCATCTGTCGCAGAGCCAGAAAACAGGAACTCAGCACATCTCAATTGGACAGCACTCAAAAAGGACCTTCATGTTTTTGTACTTATGACCTCAGCAACAAACACAGAGATCTGCTGGTAGTATGAATATTTTGGACACAGATATTTAAGAAACTATCAGCTTTCAGAACTGTACAATCAAAATCAAAGGCTGACAACATCATTAACTGAGAGATGAGATGTCCATGAGGATCTTTATCTTACGGTCTGCAGGTCCTTGTCATGCTCCAGCTGATAGTTGAGCTCCTGCTGCAGGTCTGAGCTGATCTGCTCCGGGGTGCACTGCCAAGGAGTTCAAAAGAAGTGTGAAAAAAATTGCTCTTTGTTGCTGCACAAGCATACTGAACACACTTATTTCAGATACAACTTGGGCTTCATACTTTAATCATGGTAGCCAGTGCCAAACAGATGCACTTTGCAGCTAAGTCCTATGTGAGAAGGGTATTCTATACACAATTACTGCAGACGAATGTAACTCAGTCTAAGACTAATTAGGGCTGCACCGTTCTTGATTAAATGGAAATCACATTCTTTTGTTTAGAATTTAGATCACAATTCTCACTCATGATTCTTTAACATACACCAGTTTCATAAAGAACAGCATATAAATTTACTAAATTATTACAAAACATGCAACGAGTATACTAACAACTCAGTTATTACCTGCATAAAGACAAAAGATTAACTGCTTAATAAAATATCATTTGAGTCAATAAAATAAACAAAACAATTCTGAAAGCACTGCTAAAACAGACTAAACAGAAACCAACTGCTTTCCCCATAAATCAACTTCATATAAATCATAGCTTCATTTAACATATTGGAAATAAATAAAACTAAATGTGCCATAACTTTTGCACAAACCACATTGATTTATTTTTTCCACATATGTTTTAAATTCAGCAAATAAATAGTAATTGGCTTTAAAGTATGCAGGCGTGTTCTCTGTAGAAAGTGTGTACATATTATCAATAAAACACATATTTCAACCAGGGGCACCCAAATTTGTATGTATGCTAAAAGTACTTGTGGGTAAAAACTAGTGAAATGTTAAAGTAAAACTAGATAAGCTCCAAGACAAGGTTAACCTCTCTACAGAAAAATGGTCCTTTGCCTTATCTACACACATACACTGATCTATCTATCATTAAGTACACCTACACTCAGGGTTAATTATCCACATATTGTTCAGGTTTACAATTACTGACTGCAGCCCCTCTGACACTGTGCAATTCATCAGCACCCTCTACTCCATGCATCCAGGGAAAGGGACCACCATGGGACCATAGAGAATTATATTGTTATGAGTTGGTATGAGAGTGTCAGGCATAGTAGTATTGTGTTGAATCTTACAAAAGCCAGTGGACCCTCATCAATATTACTGCTGGTCCAAGGGTTCCAGTTGACTTGAGGGGGAGGCCAGGGCACCACACCTGCCAAGCTCTGCCTCTGAGAAGGTTCAAAATGGGCCATTTTCCCCTGAACAAGGGACACCGGACCGCTAGGATCCTGTGACAGTGAGGACAGAGACATAGGCATTTTAATGCAATTTGACAGTGAAGATCAAACCTGAGACCTTTATGAAATTTGTTTGATATAAAGAATTGAACCAAAGCACTTACAGGTGGAGGAATGTGGACGCCAAGCTCATGGATGATGCTCTGTAGTTGTTGCTTCAGATCTTCACTAACATTCACATCGTACGCTTCCACCTAGCATTTCAGTGAGAGGGAGAGCACAGCATTAGCAAATATCAAAGACGGCTGTAAATACACTGTTCCTATTTCACACCAGCAAACTCACAGTCTCTCCTTCTTTCTTCTTTGTCTGCCCTGTAAAAGCCTCGATGACGCCCAGATGGTACAGCTGTCGAACCATGGAGAGAGCACATGACTGTGCTGCCAGCTTCTTATTGGAGCCATGTTCACGAGCGAAGATTTCTGCACATTTTTGAGTGGGCATTAGCAAAGACGTTAGCTGGCAAAGTACCAAAACAACTCAACTACCACTTTATTAAGTGAATTAGATACAGTGTATCTGCACTATTGTTCATTTTATCAGGTGCATTTAGCATACAGGTGCATTTTGTAGCTCTCCAGTAACAGACTGCAGTCACTGCGGTTCTCTGCATAATTTGTTAGCCACCCTTCAACCTATTTATCAATTTGTATGGACTCGCATAGGACCACCAGTGAGCAGGTATTATTTGAGTGGTTTGATAATTGACAAATTGCAGCAACAGATGAGCAATCGTCTCTAACTTTATATCCAACACCACAACACCCACTATCAAGTCAATGTCACTGCAGAAACCACCCAAATAATTCTTGCCACATGATGGTCCTGCGAGGGTTCTGATCACCGTCAAACAGGAAAAAGAAAGGGAAAAAATTATGCAGAGAAACAGACTGAGTGCATCTCTTTTATTAGTGGACCTAATAAAACTAACAATAGGTCTGGATGTGGTATGTGTACCAAATGAAGTGGCCAGTGAGTGTATACTGCTTTTGAATCAAAGGAACAAACAGAATGATAGATACTTACTTCGTCCTAGCTGTCTTACAAAGATGAGCGCCATTTCATGAATAAGAGTGTCCACATGTGACTACTCCATCTTGAGCAGGTCAGACTTCCAACCATGAACCAGAACACTTCCATCTCAGCCGCGGAGGCCTCCATTCCTGACGGAGGAGCGACACCAGAAATCACAACCATACATTACTGCACCCCCACACACTCCAGCACTCGTCCAATCACAGACTCCACCATGTGGCACCTTAGTGCGGCCTAAGAAATGCCACATGTTTGTCATGTGTAAGGATGTGATTTCTGCTATCAGCAATTTTCTCCTAGCTTATTTTATTTTTCAGCTCTGCCAAAGTCAAGCGAAGACCACAAGACAACAGATTACATTTTTTCAATCAGATTACTGAAACTAAGCTGGGCAAAAGTCCAAATCTGAGTGTACCTGGAAAAGTAGTACAGCAATCGTGTTAGAGAAGCTGTTTGAAATACGTTCACCGAGATCTCCTTGAATAGTAGTCCTGCAGGTTAGCCCCTCGCTCCCACTGAGAATTGCCGAAACCCGAATAGCCTAGTCCAGTCACTCCAGGAACCGGAGCAGAGGCCTTCTCGGGCCCTATGGAGGAAGAAAGATTTGAGCCATGGCTTAAGTCTGCTTATTTCATACCATATTCACATTCATCACACCACACTCCACTACCATCTCAAAAGTATAAATATCCATCTATAATAGGAAGTTATATGCTAGAAAAGTACTGTAAACAAATGTGAATAAGCTTCTAACCCATTTTAGTAAGGAAATTACTGTATTTTTCACTGTCACATACTGTAACAAGTAACATACTCAGAGTTTGAACTTTAGAGATAAAAAAACAAAAATGTGTTGGTAGTAACTGATGTAGTTATCACACCTCATTTTTCCTGGCTAAATGTGGAGGTAGAGGACCATTGGCTGGCAGATTTCCAAAGCCACCACTTTCCTGCCCACTGCCATCATGCACATCTGGGACACTGGCCTGGTAACAGAATGATAATGACAGGCAGATGTCATTACTATGCAGAAGAGAGATGGTGTGAGAGTGAGTAGTAAAATAAAAGTCTGCCACTCACCCCTAAAGCAGGTACATCAGAAGCACTAATCTCACCCATTCGGACAAGATAATTCACAAAGTCCCTTGCAGCATTGGACTGGGCATCTTTCTTGCTGGTGGAGTTTCCCATTCCAATGTAACTGTAACCATCAACACGGACCTAAGGGGGAAAAAACAAACGCGTTTCAAATCTGTGCAGAATTTAGACAAAACCAGACAATCCACTTTTTGCTCCAACCACAAGTGCACCAGGTATTCAGTACAACAGCAAAAGACTATGTCAGGCTCCACTTTGTCAGGCAAGGGCAGAAAACTGAGGCTGCAGTGGGCACAGGCTCAACAAAACTGGACAGTTGAAGACTGGAAAAATATAGCTTGGTCTGATGAATCTAGATTTCTATGGAGGCACACAGATGATAGGATCGGAATTTCCCTTTGTCAGCATTCCACATTGGTGGAGGTGGTGTAATGGTGTGGGCAATGTTTTCTTGGTACACTCTGGGTCTGTTTATACCAGTCAGTCATCGCATTAATGCCACAGCCTATTTGACTATTGTTGCTGACCATGTGCATCCCTTCATGGTCACAATATACCAATCTTTTAATAGCTGCTTCAAGCACAATAATGCACCTTGTCACAAAGCAAAGGTTATCTCAAAGTGATTCCATGGATATGACAATGAGTTTAATGCTCTTCAGTGGCCTTCCCAGCCACCAGATCTGAGTCCAATAGAACACCTTTGAGATTTGGTGCAATGGGAGATTTGCAGCATGAAAGTGCACTTAAAAAATCTGCAGGAATTCCATGACGCACTTCAAGTTACAGCTTTGCTCAGTGAGTATGTGTGTCTGTATATGGTGATATATGGCTGAAATAGTTGTCCCATACATCTATATAAGCTAATATAAAACATATTTTTGAAATCAATACATGCCATATATTAGTTTTTCGTGTGGGTTCCAACGGATGACACTGCAATTTAAGCAAAGACCAGGCCAACTTTGCACGTCTGGGAAATCAACCATAGGAGACACTTGTCTAAAAATCACAATTTTTAACTAAGACAGTGTGCAAGATAAGTGAACAGACACAGCATGCCTGCTTACCTCACACATAAACTGCCTGTTTTTATTTCCAGCCGCCCTTATGTCATAGTTGGCCGTTAACTTCTTCTTACCGCACCATGCATACAGAAAGTTTTTAATGTCCCCCATTGTTTACAGTCCTCCTAGGAAAAAGCAGAAAGGTACTGAGATCATTAATAAACGAATATAATCTTCACATATGACTTTAATTTACACTCCATTAAGCAGCTGGCAGCAATCCAAGTCACCCAGATGAGTTGGCCTGATTTTGGCTGGTCACTCAAATACACTGATCGTTAGGTTCGCTCGAACGGAGACTCCTCTCTGACTTATGTGGGTGATGAAACAATCACTAAACCACACTCAGCCGCGCGCGCCGTCACCGTGATTTGTCAGCGAAAATGCTTCACTCTTCTTATTTGAATTTCCAGTTCCATCTTAAATGGTCAGCAGTTATAGCCTGGCGCCTCAGGCTTCTCGGTTGAATTTTCCGTTCCACCTTAAATGGAGCGGCAGGAGCTCCTCAAGCTTCTTATGTGGAATTTTCCATTCTACCCAGAATATAACTGCTGCACCATTTAAGGTGGAACGGAAAACTGATAAGCTGACGTCAGCTCAGCGCTTTTTTTTCTTCTGGTAATTTTGGACCGGTTTGTAACGTTAAAGCGGGACGCGGGAAAATCAGGTTGGCGGCGCGCGCTCTGAAGCTCGTCTGTGCGCGCGCGGCTGGGTGTAGTTGAGTGTTGGTTTAAAATAAAGTCGGAGATCAATCTCCGTCTGTAAAAGCGCCGATGAGCAGCAGAGAACTGGACTTTGCAGCGGTTTATCTCGCCATCACTGAGCTAATGAGTGGAACATGCTGCAGAAAGGAAACATCTGTAATCCCGCGAAAACACTTTACTAAAGTTAAATTCCTGTTCCAAGTTTCCGTTCCACCTTAAATGATCAGCAGTAACAGCCTGGAACCCCCTGACTTCTTGTTTGAATTTTCTGTTCCACCTTAAATGGTGCCGCAGTAAGATTTTTGCACCTCAAGCTTGAAATTTTTCACTCCATCTTAAATGTTGTTCACATTAAATGGTGCCTGAGATGTTTACTTACTGTAGGATGTTCCGCCCTTCAAGGCAACCCTAAAGAACCCACATTCCCTGAAAAATGGCCCTGCTCTTTATTATTTCTGTAATATTGTTTTCAGTTTTATATCTGTATTTATGAGAGGAAATATATTTACAATTCTGTACTGATGGGTTCAGTTACTCTAAAATAATCAGCTTTTTACAAATTATACGGTTATTTTAGATATATTGATTTAATACAATTTGTAGGCATATTTATAGATAAATATGAGTTTCTTTCCACTTTCATAAACAGATTTATTGAAGCTTCTCAGTCAATTTGAAGTTTTTTTTAAAGAAGTTTAGTTTATTTTAGATAAAATTAATTTTTAATTTTTTTTTAGATTTAACATTTATAGACAAATGAAGTTATTAAACACGCTGAATGGTTCTCATGACATCAGATAAGTTTAGAAATAAGAATCATTGTAAAACAGGATTCATAGGATTGTGCATAATTTTACTTATTTGACAAAAAATATGAATATTAAATAAATCTCACCATTTGACATCATCCTTTAAAACTTACTGAAACAAAATGATTCAAATTCCTGATTCTACAGGCTTTGTTTTTCAAAATTTAAACATATTCCACTAATTTTAAGTGTATTTTTGGTCATTTTATTTGGCAAAAAATCTATAAAACTCATTGATGGGGTCCTTATGAAGTTAAACCAGTGCTGACGACCAGATTAAGTGTGTAAATTTAATCTATGAAAGTGTTTTGTTTGGGTAATATTAAACTTAAATAGATTCATATTTGACCAGTTTTAGGTCAGTAAATCTATTGATCTCATTGATCGTTTCTCTCAAGCCAAGTTTAATAGGTACATGTTTCCTTTGTATATTGCTGAGATTTTTTATATACTTTATTAAAGGTTACATTTATATTAATAGGCAAGTAATAGATCTTTAATGGAGATCAATAAAACTGAATTTAATATTCTTAATTAATCTAAAAACAATCATTGTGTCTTTTCAGTGTGCATAGTGCAGTGGGTTAAGAAGTTGAATGACATGGTTGGATACCAGTGTGGGGAGAGCTGTACGGGATCATTCAGACGTTTGTCTTCTCTACACCAGACTGTAGGTGTGTAGGGACATATTTGCCTGGCTGCACTGACCAGAGGATGAAGTGCAAGTCAATGTTCGGAGAAGAAGTGAGGCATCATGATAGGACCTCATATTTGCCTTTAACTATTGCTTTTTGTTAGCTTGCATGTTTTGAGTTCAACAGCAGTTTGGTTTGCAGTTTGTTTCCATCCAGTACACAAATGGGTACCAAATGTGGTAAAGGACAATTATCCCACCATGCTTTATCTAGATACCGTTTCTGGTAATTGGTTTAGCTGCATTTTGTTAGATGAATCATTTAGATTCTGTTACTGGCCTTAAATTTGAAATCCATTCTTAATGAAATTCAGCATGCATATGCCAAATTTCTCCTGCTTGGACTGTTTCAACAAACGTCACATGTGTGGGGGTTAATCCCTGGTGTTGTATTCGCTACACTGTGTATTTGAGTGGTCAGTGATTCACAAGCACAGATGTGCTTTCAGGTTAGCTTAAGGTGCCCATTGTAGGGACTGGGCTAGCAGTCACAAGGCTGACTAATTGAGGGAGAATCTGTTACAGACGTGGATGTAGTAGTGGCTAGTGGGCCTTACCAATGTTTTCCACTCAACGTCGACACAGAGACTGGACCCTTCAGCCTTGGCTGAGTGTCCTTTATCATTCTTCCTTTATTTTTTAACTGTATTTCCTGCATTTGTACAATTCCAACATGTTTTTTCAGTACCTATCTGCACATCCCACAGATCTGGAGTACCCCATCATCGTGGCGAGAAGCGCATTACCTGGAATCTTACCTATCCCCTATGGTTGTCACAGTTTCAGACCAGGGTGGCAGGTGGGCTCTGGAATTGCCAATCTGCATTACAGAAGGCAGACTTCATCTCAGCATTAGCATCCCTCCATTTACTGCACTTCGTGGCTTTGAGAGACTTTGGTTCACCCTCCAGTGAAGTGTTCAGTGATTCACATTTTCTTGTGTCCTGGCCCCCATGTTTCGATAAGAACTTTCACTGGCTATCCGAACTACAGTGTCCCTCATGGTCTTCAACCTTAAACTGAAAACCCATCTGTGTCTGAAGAACTTTGGCACTAATCTAATTATTTATCGACACGTATTTCGCTGCACAAAGTCCCTTTATTTTCAGAGTTTCTTCAGAATATGCCCTTATTTGCCTAATGTTCTTGCTTTTCTCTCTCTACAATGCTGGTTTCATCTTGGACCAAGTGCCACAGGTTGATCGTTTGCCTTTGTGGTCCTGCAAGACCAGAAAAGTGTTGACCTGTATTGAAACATTGTTAATCGCCATTATTGACCACTACTGTGTTTTATTTCACTAACCTTTGAGTGCAAGTCAACAGATGTTAAGAGAAGATTTGACATGAAGTCATTGCCATTGACTTGTGCATGTTTATTTTTTTGATTGTTAGTGAATCCAGATTTAAAGTATTTTAATTAGCATGGAATTTTTCTGTGTAAAGTTTCTTCTTGGCCGCACTGACCAGGGGATAAAGTGGAAGTTGGGTTTCAGAAATGTGATCCAGGGTGTTAGGACTTTCATTTTGTTTGCTTTTTTTGTTAGGGTTGATTTTATTTATTTATTTATTTATTGATTTATTTATTTTTTACATAGTTATAAATGCAGATGACATACACATGATTGCCAAATGTAGTAATTGACCATTATTCAACTGCCCTGTACCTATTTGCAGTTTCTGGTAACTGGTTCAGCTGCATTTTGTTTAATGAAATATTTAGATTTTGGAACCAGATTTTAAAATCAAATTTTAAATCTTTTCTTAATGAAATTCAGCGTGCACACACCAAACTTCTCTTTCCACCGTATCACCAAGATCTAGAGACCTTGAGTGTTTTATCATTGGGTATCACTGCCTTGATGTCCTCACTGTTTTCTTTGGTGCACTCTATTGTACCTCTTGAGTTTCACATTGAGGACCTCAATGGGAATCATTGGAGTCAGTTTTATTCCCATTTAATTTAAGTTTTTTCTGAGCTAGTTTCCTCCTGGCCTGGACTTGATGTCTGTGCGTGGATGGACTGACCAGAGGATGAAGTGGAAGTCAGTGTTCAGAGAAGTGAACCATCATGGTAGGACCCCCTATTTGCCTGCAACTACTTCTTTATTTTAGATTGTGTTTTTTTTTAAGTTTAAACTAAAGTTCTGTCTAGTTGTATCCATGGAGTTTAAAAGGGGTTGTGTGTAATAATACCATAATACCCTTTGTGTCTTACAGATTTCATCTGAATTTTAAAAGCTTACTTTTGTTTAATTATTTTCATTGTTGTGGTTTTTGTCAGAGGAGGATGGGCTTCCCTTTTGAATCTCGATTTCTCTCAAGGTTTCTTCCTCTTGCTCTGAGGGGTATTTTTGCTGCCTTTTTATACCAAAGATTTTTCTGATTTTATATTTCATCTTTTTGTTTGGTGTACTTCTTTACATTGTATTTTGTGACTATTAAATATACACCAGCCGAGCACTTTATTAGTAACACCTTGTTTCTACACTCATTGTCCATAGTATCTGCTCCATTTACCATATAGGAGCACTTTGTAGTTCAATCACAGATTGTAGTCAATCTGTTTCTCTGCATACTTTGTTAGTGCCATTTCACTACAATATTTAATGGACAGGGCCCCCACAAGACCACCACAGAGCAGGTATTATTTGGATGGTCGATCATTGCCTGCCTTGCAGTGACACTGACATGGTGCTGGCATGTTAGTGCACAGTAAAAAAAAACTGGGTGACAATACTTGAGTTTATTTATTTCAACTCTTTTTTTTATTTATATAAACTATTTCTAACACTGTCCAGCAGTAAACTGCACTCTAATCGTAGAGTTTAAAAAGCGTGTACAGTTCTGCAGACATGCAGTGAAAATTCTACTCTAGAGAGTGATAAATGTTACTGTCTGGTAAGG